TTAGCTCTGTGAAACATTTCTATGTGGCGGATTCCTGAAGGGGCGTTTACTGATATTAGGGAACCACAGCACAGACTTCTCAGTCCAAATTCCAGTTATTTGTTCAAATGTAAACTTGGCCATGATCTCACCACACTGCTTTTAGCTATCCCTCTCCTTAGGCTCCTCTGGGTCTGCGATCTTTCCGGTTTTTTTCCTTGTCTTTCAGGGTTTTTTCTTGTTTTTTATGACCATGGCACCTTTGAAGAGGACCGGTGGGGCATTTGGTAGAATGTTCCTCCATCTGGGTTCAGGTGCTGTTTTCTCGTGGTTAGATTGGGGTTCACAAAGTTGGTGTCCTTGTGAAAGTGCATGATACTGCACGGCTTCCTCCTGGAGACGCTCGCCCGAAGCACGTGGCCCTCACCTGGACCAGTGGCTCAGGCCAGCTGCTTCCGCTCCACTGTTGAGTCACCATTTCTCACCTTCCCTTCCTTGGAATTGAGTCCCCAGATCCAGCCCACTCTCAGGGTGGAATTAAGCTCCACTTTCCGGAAGAGAGACCATCCCCAGATGGGATTTCACCAACCAGTGTCAAGAGACTAAGTCGGACTTTTGGGAGCGAGCGCTACAAAACCCTCTCAGGAAAGTCCCTAGCTTGCAGGGTAAGCCTTATAGATCCAGCCAGGCCAACCAAGATCCTTGGCATGTTTCGGGGACGTCAAAGAAGAGCCAAATTCATCAAAAGGCATAGATACAGCTGGTGAAGCTTGGGCTCTTATCTTCAGTTAGCAAAGGATAGAGGCTTTTGGAAGTCTACTTTGAGATTCCTCACGGAAACTTCCAGTAAAGCAAGCTGAACTCTTGTCGTAACTCTGTAAAATAATCAGGGCAAATTCAATGAGACCTGGCAAGGAAGGTCTTTCTTTGAGATTATTCTTAACAAAAGGGACAGCTCAAATATTATTTAGTCATAAAAAAACAGAAGGAAATCCTGCTATTTGTGGCATGGTGGATGAAGCTGGTAGGTGTTACTTACGCTAAGAGAAATTAGCCAGACAGAGAACGATTAAAATCTGCATGATTTCACTTATGTGTGAAAGTTTAAATAGCCAAACTCACAGAAACAGAAGAACGTCAGTTTTCAAGAGATAGGGGATGGGGTGAGGAATGCGGCGATGTTGGTCAAATGGTACAAAATTTTACCATAAGTCCTGAGGATCTAAGGTACAGCATGGTGACTATAGTTAAGAGTGCTGTATTGTTAGGTGTGAAAGTTGCTAAACAAGTAAATTTTAACCATTCTAACCACACACACCACTGCAGATCATGTCAGTTCAGTCAGTTCAGTCCAGTCGCTCAGTTGTGTCAGACACTTTGCGACTCCATGAATCACAACACGCCAGGCCTCCCTGTCCATGACCAATTCCCGGAGTTTACTCAAACCCATGTCCATTGAGTCGGTGATGCCACCCAGCCATCTCATCCTCTGTCAACCCTTTCTCCTCCTGCCCCAATCCTTCCCAGCGTTAGGGTCTTCTCCAATGAGTCAACTCTTTGCATGAGGTGGCCAAAGTATTGGAGTTTCAGCTTCACCATCACTCCTTCCAATGAACACCCAGGACTCATCTCCTTTGGGATGGACTGGTTGATCTCCTTGCAGTCCAAGGTACTCTCAAGAGTCTTCTCCAACACCACAGTTCAAAAGCATCAATTTTTCGGCGCTCAGCTTTCTTCACTGTACAACTCTCACATCCATACATGACTACTGAAAAAACCATAGCCTTGACTAGATGGACCTTTGTTGGCAAAGTAATGTCTCTGCTTTTTAACATGCTATCTAGGTTGGTCATAACTTTCCTTCCAAGGAGTAAGCGTTTTTAATGTCATGGCTGCAATCACCATCTGCAGTAATTTTGGAATGCAAAAAAATAAAGTCAGCCACTGTTGCCACTGTTTCCCCATCTATTTCCCATGAAGTGATGGGACCAGATGCCATGATCTTAGTTTTATGAATGTTGAGCTTTAAGCAAACTTTTTCACTCTTCTCTTTCACTTTCATCAAGGGGCTCTTTAGTTCCCCTTCACTTTCTGCCATAAGGGTGGTGTCATCTGCATATCTGAGGTTATTGATATTTCTCCCGGCAATCTTTATGCCAGCTTGTGCTTCCTCCGGCCCAGCATTTCTCATGATGTACTCTGCATCATGCACCCTTAAGTTAAATAAGCAGGGTGACAATATACAGCCTTGACGTACTCCTTTACCTATTTAGAACCAGTCTGTTGTTCCATGTCCAGTTCTAACTGTTGCTTCCTGACCTGCATACAGGTTTCTCAAGAGGCAGGTCAGATGGCCTGGTATTCCCATCTCTTTAAGAATTTTCCACAGTTTATTGTGATCCACACAGTCAAAGGCTTTGGCATAGTCAATAAAGCAGAAATAGATGTTTTTCTGGAACTCTCTTGCTTTTTCTATGATCCAGTGGATGTTGACAATTTGATCTCTGGTTCCTCTGCCTTTTCTAAAACCAGTTTGAACATCTAGAAGTTCATGGTTCACATATTGCTGAAGCCTGGCTGGGAGAATTTTGAGCATTACTTTACTAGTGTGTGAGATGAGTGCAATTGTGCAGTAGTTTGAGCATTCTTTGGGATTGGAATGAAAACTGACCTTTTCCAGTCCTGTGGCCACTGCTGAGTTTTCCAAATTTGCTGGCATATTGAGTGCAGCACTTTCACAGCATCAGCTTTCAGGATTTGAAATAGCTCAACTGGAATTCCATCACCTCCACTAGCTTTGTTCGTAGTGATGCTTTCTAGGGCCCACTTGACTTCACACTCCAGGATGTCTGGCTCTAGGTGAGTGATCACACCATTGTGATTATCTGGGTCATGAAGATCTTTGTTGTATAGTTCTTCTGTGTATTCTTGCCACCTTTCCTTAATATCTTCTCCTTCTGTTAGGTCCATACCATTTCTGTCCTTTATTGAGCCCATCTTTGCATGAAACGTTCCCTTGGTATCTCTAATTTTCTTAAGAGATCTCTAGTCTTTCCTATTCTTTTGTTTTCCTCTATTTCTTTGCATTGATTGCTGAGGAAGGCTTTCTTATCTCCCCTGGCTATTCTTTGGAACTCTGCATTCACATGGGAATATCTTTCCTTTTCTCCTTTGCTTTTTGCTTCTCTTCTTTTCATAGCTATTCGTAAGGCCTCCTCAGACAACCATTTTGCCTTTTTGCATTTCTTTTCTATGGGCATGGTCTTGATCCCTGTCTCCTGTAAAATGTCATGAACCTCCGTCCATAGTTCTTCAGGCACTCTGTCTATCAGATCTAGTCCCTTAAATCTATTTCTCACTTCCACTGTATAGTCATAAGGGATTTGATTTAGGTCATACTTGAATGTTCTAGTGGTTTTCCCTACTTCCTTCAATTTGTCTGAATTTGGCAATAAGGAGTTCATGGTCTGAGCCACAGTCAGCTCCTGGTCTTGTTTTTCCTGACTGTATAGAGCTTCTCCATCTTTGGCTGCAAAGAATATAATCAGTCTGATTTCGGTGTTGACCATCTGGTGATGTCTACGTGTAGAGTCTTCTCTTGTGTTGTTGGAAGAGGAAGCAGATCATGTAGGACTATATTTATTGGGGGGAAAATCTGTGTAGGGTGTTTCCCTGGTGGTCTGGTGGTTAAGAGTCCGCCTTGCAATGTATGGACACCGGTTCTATCTCTGGTCTATAAGATCCCACATGCTGAGCAGCAGCTAAGCCCGTGCGCCACAGCGACAAGCCTGTGCTCTAGAGTCTGTGAGCCGTAATGAAGCCCAAACGCCTTCAAGCCTGTGCGTGGCAACAGGAGAAGCCACTGCAATGAGAGGCCCATGTACTGCAGTGAAGAGTAAACCCCAGCTCACCGCAACTAGAGAAAGCCTGCATGCAGCAACGAAGATCCAGCTTAGCCAAAAATAAATAAAATTATTTTACAAAATCTGTGTAGAAGTGGACCCATGCAGTTCAATCCTGTGTTGTTCAAGGGTCAACTGTATTAAAATTATAAAAACATCATAAAACTGGCTGCAAAAAAAGGGAAAGCTGATCATTTCTCTGCCCCTGTGAGTCAGGTTTGCCCAATCATTTCAATATTCCTGATCTATAAACCTGTTTGTTCTTTGAATATCTGACCAGTTGCCCCTCATAAATCATGAAATAAATAAAATCTTTAACATGTATTCATTTTACACCAGCATGAGAGCCATGAATTTTTCCCCTTCTTTGAAACTTTTCCTATAACATGCCCTGTTGTTCTTAGATGCCTCAGCCTGGCACTCTAACTCCAGATCTTGTTGCTGTCTGGGTCTTTTCACACTTGTTCCCCTTCCCTGGAACTCCATGACTTCTCCCCAGTGAACATATTCTTTCAAACTCCCCAGACAAGCTCACTGCCCCACCTGTGGCCTTGCATGACTCCAGTTACCACCTTCTGGCTTAACCCATAACACCTAGTGTGGGGCGGCGAAAAAGAGTAACTAGGGATGTGTGTTGATGTAACAGATATAGTTTCTGCCTAATGAACTCCTAGTCACCCTTCAAAAGCCCAGCCCTAATGTCCTTCCTTCCTATGAAGAACCTTCACTTCTCCTCTGGGCTCCTCTAGTACTGGTGCCTCCCTGTCTGGCCCATCCCTGCCCCCATGGGACTAGGGTTATCTGTCTGGCTCTTCATCCCTGGGACAGGGAGGTTCTCAGGGGTCCCAGCATTGTGCAGATCTGAAAAAAGGAGATTTGCTGAATCACAAAATCCAGAAGTGTTTATTAAGTGAGTTTTGATGTAGCACCATTCGCAGTGAGGCAAGATTCTTTTTTTTTTTTTTGAGGCAAGATTCTTGATCCTGGGGCAGAATTTTGAGTCTGGGCTTCATAGAATAGGTAGAAGTAGTGGCTTTGCTGAGTCAGGGATCAAAAAACAAGGACAGGTGTGATTTCGTTCTTCTTGCACCAGATCCCTCCCAGGACACCGGCTGTCAGTCACTTGAAGTGGACTTGCTTGGACAGGTCAGCTGTGGGTTGGCAGACATCTGGCTTCTGGCCCTGGAGAAGGTGGCCGTGAGTTAGGGTCCTGAAAGGAGACCCTACCCTACCCCCGCCAGCCAGATCCCTCCATTCCCTGCCTAGCTTACCTGGTACAAGCGGCAGACAAGGTGTAGGAGATGCTCATCTTCTTTCATGTGTTCCTGAACAAGCAAGACACGGGGTTAACAGTTCCACTGGCCCCCATTCTGGCCCTTGCCTCCTGCCTCCCAGATCAATGTACACGCCCATCAGCCTGGTTCCTGCCTGGGGGCCCCAGGAGTTCTTACCCCATTGACGACGACCCAGGGCACGTATGTGTGGGGTGGCCGCAAAGCATCTGTGAGCTGAGCATTGATGTGCAAGAGCTGCGTGCCACGGTCCCCCAGAGCACACTCCATGATGGAATCCGGGGACACCTTTGGCGCATAGATCTGCAGGCACTGACAGCAAATGGGAGCTGGTCAGCAGGGGCATTGCCTCAGCTTCCTCCCTGTTATCTCCCTAACAGTCACCCTTCTAGCAACCCCCACTCCCCCAAGCCCAGTTTCTGCTTCCTCACTGACAACAGGAGACAGTCTGGTTTCCAGGGATGCAGCAAGTGCTTAATACATGTCTGAGTGGAGGCCCCTGGGGCAGGGACTTGGGCTGCTTCTGCTCAGGCTGTCTCCCATAAGACCAGACCTGCAGCTCCAGCTCTGCAGGGTCTTATTTTCCCCAGAGCATCCGTACTTGCTGTTCCCTCTGCCGGGAACACTTTTCCTCCTCCTTCCTCTGAGTCTCCTGAGTGTTCCCTCCTCCTTTGCACACCCCCAGCCACACTATGACTCTGCAGGGCTTGGAGGTGTCTCAGGGAGGCTTCAGGTCTCTTGGGTGGCCCAGATGCTTGATGAATAAATAAACAATCAGGACAGATGAGTCACCTTTTGGGGAGTTATTTTTCATAATCCTCCAGGGAGGGAGATGGGCCAGGTGTGTCCTCTCCATACCCCAGAGAAGGATCACTGTCTGTGTCCCTGAATATTCCTGTTCAACCAAGCCCAGCTCAGAGGCACCTCGTCCAGGAAGCCCTCCCTGATTTACCAGGCAGGCCCGCAGAAGATCTTGGTTCTCTCCATTCAGAGACTGAATCTTTGAGAAAGGACACTGTATTCCTGGGACTGCACAGAGAGTGGCAGCCAGGGCCAGGACTCGAGCCTGGGTCTGTCTGGATGCAGGGAGGCCAAGGGCCCCCAACCCAGGCTGAATGAGGGGTGTTACTCACTGGCTTCAGATTTTGCTCCATGTCAGTCATTTCCTCTAGGCAGACAATGGTCAGGAAGGCTGTTTTCGGCTCCAGCTGGTCCAGCAGGCAGGCCTGGGGGTGGGGGCAGGCAGGCAAGGATGTGAGTGGCTCAGAGCACCCTCCACCCCAACGACCACCCCAGGAATAACCACGAGGTGTCCACCAATCAAGTGGAGAACAAAGACATGATTAAAAGGAGGCTCACAGGCAAGGGGCAGAGCTGTTTGCAATCCCTTCTGAGTCACGATCTATCAGGGCAGTGGCCCCAGCCTCTGTGCCCCTCCCTTGGGAACTGGGGGAGAGGGGAGCTGCTCACCTCCACTTTGTTAAGCTTGCACTCCCGCTCACCATGCTGGCATGAGAACTCCCACTTGCCACTGACGTTTCTTTCCTGAAAAGCAACGAGGTGAGTGTTGGCTGCCCCCCTCCCCCAGACCTCCTTCCCGTGGCCACGTGACTCCATTTCCCCGGTCCCCAGGCACCTGAGCGTTCCCATAGGGCACCAAGGTGACGTTGAGGATTTCCCACACCATCAGCCACGTCGGGAAGAGCTCTCGCATCAGGAACATCCGGCAGCCAGGGCACAGCGCCTCATAGTAGAGGCTCACGTTGACCAGGGGAACTTTCGGCTTCTGGGGCGATGCCTGCAGGCACAGCTCACCGGCCTGCGCGGGAGGAAGGGGTGTGAGTCAAGGTAAACTCCCGCAGGAAGGAAGCTGCAGACAGCAGGTGCTCCGTCTCACACTCCTCCCCTCCTCGTCAGGTGGGAGTCTGATGCTGAGGCTTCACCCAAAGCCTAAATCTTCCTAAAGATCAGATTGCAAGATTGATGTGACACAGATTTGCAAACAGTAGGCAGTTAATGGAGCCACAAGGTTTGCTTTCCTCCAAGAGAAGTGAAACTTCTCACCCAGGGGGCGACAGGGTGGAAGAATTCCTGGCCTTCACCCATCTGGGTCTCCGCGGCCAGCCCTGCCTTCCGGCGGTGCGCATCACCCCCGCGTGCTCCTCTGTGGCCCCTTCATCCCCTCGAGCCGCGGCCTCGGGCTGAGCAAGGCCGCACACCGCACTGACTCCTTATTTACTCTTCCTATCCACCAGTCCCTTGAACTCCTCCCAAGGCTACTGCGGAGGCGGCGCCTAATAGGTGCTGACTTCCGTCTCCAGCTGAGGGGTGGCGGGCGCTCGTGTCTGTGAGCAAGTGGTTTAGCCTCCGGGGCATCTGCTTACTCCGGACCAGAAAAACGCGCGCTCTTCCCGGAACGAAACCCACCCTCGATGAGTGCCCGTGGCCAGGGGCCGGCAGCTCAGCTGGTCTGGGCTTCCTTCCCCCGGCCTAAAAGAGGAGACTCTGATTCTCGCTCCAGATGTACACAGTTGGTGCTCAATGCATCGTGGGGGGAGGAGGGGGTTGCGGGAGGATGGGGTGGGGGACAGCTGAGGGACTCGGACTCCAGATAGGAAAGCGAAAGGGAAAAGAAAGTATGGCCAAAATGCAGGATTGAAGGGTGGGGTTGGGGAGGGGGTCGCCACCCCCTGCCCCCGGGTAGCATCCTCTCCGGACCCCGGTGGTCCCCGTAGAAGTGGAGGGCGGTGGGAGGAGAGGAGCGGCCGGCCCCCGCCCGGGGCGCGGGTCCCCGCTGGCCCGCCCGCTGCGCCGCAGACGCTACCTGGCAGGGGGCCGCCCCCTCGGGGAGTGCTTCCAGCGAGGACCACCGCGTTGCGGCGGGGACCTCCGGCCGCAGCAGCAGCAGCAGGAGCGGCAGCAGCAGGAGAGGCGACGAGGCCATCACAGCGGCGGCGAAGGCGCGACGGCGGGGAGCAGTGGCCCCGGGAAGAAGCCGCCTTTAACTTGGCGGTGGCCCGGCCCCCAGGCGGGACCCGCCTCCCGGTGCCCACGCCCCTCGGGGGCCCGGGCTGGTGCCTCTAGGTATCTCTACTTTTCTCTCTGGGCCTTTCTTCCCATCCCAGCCCCACCCCAGCCCCATCCCCCCCCACCCCCGCCAGGTGCTGGGCCCCCAGTCACCTGAACAACGCGCTGTTCTTCCGTCTCCCCCAGCCCTTCCCCGCAATCAGCCCGGCCCAGTCATGTGAAGCTGAGGCTGAGCACTTTGAGCAGAGGTGAGGTCGGGGCTTAGAGACAGAGAAACAGAGAGATCGAGAGATAGGAGGTCTCTATGCGCCCACGGAGCCCTCTGAGGGCCGTTAGAGCAGTCCCGCCCCGCCCCCACCCCCTGGACCCGACGCTCCGACCTCCCTACCCTGTGTTCCCATGGGAGGTGACCCTTTGCCCCGCCGTGGGCAGCCAGGCTCCTCTCATTCCCAAGCTTCACCCTTCCCCTTCTCAGGCTCCCCAACCCTGACAGCGTCCCGTGGAGCTGACTCAGGCTTGACTACAGCAGGGCCAGAAAGCAGAAGCCAGTGCAGGGAGGGGCACCCCCATCCCTGGCTGGGGGGTGGGAAGAGAAAGCTGGTGTTCCTTCTTGCTGCTCTCCCGGGCTTGAGGGGTGCACCCCTGCCCTCTGCCAGCTCCTTTGGTAGAAGAGAAGCCTGGGTTGGAGCAGTCATTATCTGAAACCTGTACAATATACATGGGATGCGGGACTAGCCCTGTAGAACCCAAATCCAGGGAAATCAGGCAGACCCAGGTTTGCTCCAGGTGTGCTGGACACCTCAGGTGATGAAGCCCCAACTTCTTCTATAAAGTAGAAGTGAGGTTTAGGGACTACAGCTATCATGAATGGCTCAGAACAGAGAGAGCATTGCCCCAGGCTGGGGGCAGGGTGGAAGGTGTTCGCAGGACAGCTAGAGCGGGCAGAGAGAATAACCCAGATAAAGGCTTGGAGGGTGGGAGTGTTGGGGAAGTAACCGACACATTCAGACTTCTCAAGGCAAAGATTTGGGCCCCACGGGAGGAAACGCTCCCCACTCTTACCTGCAAATCAGCCCAGCCCCCAGCTCTACAGCCCATGTCCCCCTCCAGTTCTGGGGAAACCCCAGTCCACATGGCCACATTCAAATAGCAGCAGGTTCTGGAGCTGGGATTCCCCTGAAGTCCCCATAGCTGGACGGTCCCCCCTCATTCTTTTGAACCCTTCACAGAACCCCTTTCCTTTGTGAAACCTCTGCAAGGCTAAGCCACGTGGCTTTGGGGAACTTAGTCTGTACTCCGTCCTGTACTGGGCTGAAAAAATAGCAATAAATATAATTGCTAGAATTTTTCCGGTGGGTATTAAGCACCAGCCGTATTTGGAGGAATTCCTAAAGGTAACCTCACCCATTTGACCATGAAATCCTCAGAGATGCCCAGTGGCGGCAGCAGTAGAGACTGTTGGCCCTACTTGGTAAGAGAAAATGGGACTGGAGACGGGAGGTGGTGTTCCCAAGGAGACACATTTGAGTGTGGAGACCAGCTAGAGGCTATGTGGGACGTTCTCTTCTGTGCTCAGGCTCCACCCGGCGGGACTCACGGGACTGAGAAGGTGAGCTTTACCCTGCTTCCACTCGCGCTGTGGGTGAAGACCTCAGTGGGGGCAGAGTCTGGGCTGGAGTTATTTAGAGGCTCAGTTACTCAGGTGGGGTCAGTGCTTGGGGAGGGCCGCAGCTTTGAGGCCAAGGAAGGGAACCCCTGTCCCTCTAAGCGCCCAGGGGAGATGGACCAGATAGCAGCTCCTTCATCCCCTGGGGGCTGTCTTAGCCGCTTGGGTCCTGACAGGTGTGGTGGGCTGGGGAGGAGAGGAGGTTCCAGCCCTGGGGGTGTGTGAGGGGAGGGTTGAGAGACAGGGACCCTGGGGAGGGCGGCAGGGAATGGTGAATATGAGTCCTGGTCAGTGACACCATGAGGACCCAGCTCCGTGTCTCTAGAGCCATGGCAGGCTTCACCGGGCAGGTGTGGAGAGAGGGGGTCAGTGGAAGAACAGCAGAGGGGCTGACACGGGGAATCCAGGACACGGGAGACCCCTCTGGGTGGCATGGGAGGGGGTATGACAGTCTTTTCTGCCTGGCTGTGAGGAAGCTGCACATTAGAGGAGTGGCGATTTTCTGGGGCCAGGGATGGTGGCTGAGCGTCGGAAGTCAACATCAAACCTGGGAGCTATGGTCTGGGGTCCCCGCAGCAGAGGTTGGGGTCTGAGCCTCTCTGCTGGGTGACCTCAGACAGGTCTCTAAATTTCTCTGGACGTGAGCAATCTAGACTGCGATGGGGAGGGAGGTGGGGGAGGAGGCGGGGGTTGGCAGCCTTTATTTGGCAGCCCAGAGCTAAAGAAGCCTGTCACTGAAAACAGAAGCATCCATCGAGTTCAATGTTTTATATCCGTATCAGCATCAACGTACCATACAAAACCCGCCTGCCAGCGTAGCCAGACAGGCAGGAAAAGGGGGGTGGGGTCCGTGGGTGGCATAGAAAATCAGGGCTCTTGTCTCAAAAGAGGAGAGAAAAGAGGGCTTTAGGTATACTTAAGGAAAAATAAAATCAGAGCCCAACATGATGGAGAAGAAGCCTTGAGTCTGCGTTGATTAGGGTGCTGTGGGCAGCGTTATGTGCTGGCTGCCCCAGAGGTGCTGGTGGCCTCAGTTCCTGGGAGGCCTGGGGTCAGCCTGTGAGTTTATTTTTAATTACTTTCTTTTTCAGGGGTACTTCTTGGCAGCAGCCCCACGGTGGGGACAACCCGGGGCTGGGTTTCACTTCAGAGTTTGAAGGGGAAGTTGGGGTCTATGGGGCAGGTCCCGCCTGGCCCCAGACGTCACGGCTGAGGTTCTTGGAAGTGGCCAAGCGAAGTTCCTTCCTGCCCTGACCCCAGGTCTATGGCTTAAAAATCGGGGCACCTGGCGGGGGCCACGCAGCCCAGGGGCCTCTGTAAACACGGCAGGTGCAGCCAGCTGGGGCTCTGGGGACCCCCGGAGGCCTGCGGGGGTCAGGGCACAAGGCTGTGGGTGCCAGAGCCGTTGGAGGGCAGTGATTGTGGGGCAGGGCGTGTGGAGGTGGGGAGGCGGGACCCCCAACACAGATACACAGAGACGGGGAGGGGGAGAGAGAGCGAGGACGGACAGAAGGAGCTAGAAAGAGAGAGTGACGGGGGGGACAGAAAGATGGAGAGAGAGGCAGACCCAGAGGAAGACAGAGACAGCACTGCAGAGAGAAAGAGACAGATACACCTGGAGAGATTCACAAAGGAGAGAGACGGACCAGACAGACTCGGACGCGGCGCCAGCCCAGCCTCCGGCCGGGGGCCTGGGGCGCGGCTGCGCTCCGGCAGCGCTCTGGCTCCGCACTCAGCGCGCCGCGGGCGGCGGCCCAGGGCCGGGGGCGCGCACGGGATGAGCGAGCGTGACGGTCAGCGCGTCGTTGTGCTGCACCAGGGAGGCGTGCTGGTAGTGCAGCACCAGCTCCTTCAGGGACCCGTACAGGTTGTAGGGCTCCGCGAAGCCGAAGCCCGTGGCCGTGCGGTAGATGACGCAGTGCTTCGTATCGCCGTCCACCCTGCGGGGCCGGGCCACAGGCTGGGTCAGAAGGGCTCCCGCCCTCGCAGGCTTTCCCAACTTCGCCCCAGGCTCCTCTCAGGGGACCCCGCCTGGGGCCCTTACTTCCCCACCTCCTGGGTGCTGGCTGCCGACCTGGCCCCGGCCTTGCCATCTCCTGCTTTGATCCGGCCCCAGCTTCCTCCCCTGTCCCCGAGAACCCAGGGCTTCTCCCTGGCTGTCTCCCAAGGCGGAACATACAGGTGGTGCTTAACGAGAGCCCTCAGAGGGAATGGGTAGATCCCCCTCCCAACACTCAGCCGTTCTCGGTTCCCTGGCCAGGCACTCACACCACAGAACAGGCGTAGCAACCCCGCTGGCTGCTCTCACGGATGAGGAAGGTACCGTCCCGCTTGCCACTCAGCATTTCCTCAGCTTGGGTGCGGTTGATCTTGCCTACATACCATGTGCGTTCCTCGTGGTGGGGGAGGTCATCCTCATCCTCCATCAGTGAGTACTGGCTGTGGGGGAGGCAGGGAGGAGCCCTGGTCACTTACTCACCAGCCTCCAAGGCCCCCGTCACCTGGACAACGCTCCCTCTCTGGTGAACTCCTATTCACCCTGCAAAACCCACACAAAACGGCCCCTCCTCTAAGAACACCCCTCCACCCCCCGCCCGAAGGGGTCACTCACTCCTCAGTCTCGTTCTTGATCCCCAGCCATTCGTTGATTTTCTTCTGCCGGGCACCTTTCTGAGTGAGCCACCTGGAGGGAAGCGGAAAGGTGGGCTCCTGCTGCTTGGCTGGGAGGGGAAAGCATAGGAAAGGCAAGCGCTCCGTGGTCCTGGGCAGCCAGGCTGGAGGCAAGGGCTGACCCGAGGAGGTTCTGGGTGCAGTACCACCGGCTGCCACAAGGGGTCAGCCTCGGCCCGGGCAAGGACAGCTTCAACCCAGGTGGACTGCCCAGGCTCTCCCAGGGAACCACCCTGACCATTTATGTTTCTGTTCACACTTTTTGAGACCCCAGACTGTGCCAGGTACAAGGTGTTATCAGCATCGCAGGCTCAGTCCAGGGGGCTGCACACTAGTGTGCCTTTGCACACGGCAGCTGTCTGTTCTGAACCTGTTTCCCCCACCTGCAAAAGGGAATGGACGGTATTTCAGAGGACCAAGTGAGCTCATGCATGCACGGTGCTCAGCACACACAAGGTGCACGTAAGCGTCAGAGGCCCAGGTGGGAGGGGGAAGCCTCCATAGGTCAGCAGGCAGAAGCGGGACCTTGGGCTCGGGTTGGGCACTGCATGCCGGGTCACGGAGTTGGCATTCATGGAGTGGATCCTGGCGGGGGCTCCCAGTGACTCAGCCGTGTAACAGCAGTGCTCCCGTCCCACAGCTGAGGCTGAATGAAGCTGCTGTTCAGGGAGCCCTTTTTTTGGCAGCACCAGCCTTAGTTCCTCGACCAGGGATCAAACCCGTGCCCCCTGCCATGGAGGCACAGAGTCTTAACCACTGAATCACCAGGGAAGTCCAAGAGCCCTTCTGAGCGGGCCAGGAGGGGCCGGGTCGAGAGGGAAGGGGGCTGGTGGACAGATGAGGGGGTAGGGAGATAGATGGGACTACCTGGAGGAGAAAGTGAGTGAGATACATGCAAAGGTCACGGCGCCAGATGCGCCTGCATTAACAGGGTGGGGAGGGGGGGCCCACAGGCAAGCGCAGAGCCGGGCACTCACACCAGGTACTGGTCTCGGATCTTGCGCAGCTGCATGAGGTCTGGCTTGAGGCTGTTCATGCGCTTGTCGATCTCCCGGTTGTCAGAGGCCTGTGCCCGCAGCTCCTGCTCCAGCTTTGTGCGGCTCTCATGGATCTCGGCAATGCGGGACTTGAGCCGCTCGGAGTTTAGCAGGATCCTGTGGGAGGAGTGGCTCAGAGGCCTCAGACTGGCTCCCAGTCTCTAGGCCTCGGGACAGGCTGCTTCCCTGAGTTCGCTTTCTGGCAAACTCCTATTCATCCTTCAAAGTCCATTTCAACTGACCCTCTCTCCCCACCTGGAACCCAGGCTGCCCACTCTGTTTCTTTTCTTTCCCCACTTGTGCTGTGTTGAATCAGGGTGCGGTAGGGCAGAGAAGAGGAACTGGACTCAAACTGGACTCACCTCTGCATTTCTTTCTCATTGCCCTCACGTCGGAAGCGCTCGAGATATTCCTTGCTGCACTTCTCCTGCGTCTGGCCCTGCTCTTCAAAGATCTTGATGGTCTCATTGAAGGCTTCGATGGCTGTGCGCTTCATCTGCAGTTCCTGGAAGAGGGGGTAAGTCTGAGCACCTCCTGGGACTCCCGGCAAGTCCCTCATGAGAGGTAAAGGCAGATCCCAACTCTGATATGGAGACATTGCTCAAGCTGGTCCCTCCACCAGGTGCACTGTTCCTCCAGCTCCAGCTGCACCAAACGAACTCCTATTCAGCCTTCAAAGCCCACATACCCCAACCCACTCTTCTTTTAGATTCTCCTTTGGGCATCTTACAAAACAATGGGGTGCATGAGCACTGCTGAGAATTAATGATAAATCTGGTTGCTACAATTTGTGGGGCTCCTTCTCAGGGTAGATGCTGCACCAAGCCCCTTTCATGCATCCTCTCATCAAACCTCCCAACAGCCTATGTAAAGTCAGAATTGTTAATGGGGAAACTGAGGCTCAGGAGGCCTAAGCCATTTCCAAGGTCATGATGCTCCTAACTGATCCCAAACAGTTGTCCTGTCCACTCAGAACCTCAGGTGACCCATCTCTAGAAAGGAGACAAGAGAGATTGCTCAGAGACTACAGGGGAGACAGAGAAACTCCCTGATGGAGATGGGATGTTCAATCTGAATCAGTCGCATCTCAACTTACAAAAGAAGTTTAACATAGTTCTGGAGTGATAAAACCTTTCCCCACTTGCTGGTCTTTAAAAGATACTGCTCTTTTCCATGACCTCCTGACCCTTTGTCTTAGGCAACTCTTGGTGAGGTGGTTACCACCATTTTGATAACATCCAGGTTGAAGGGGATGGAGAAGGAAAGGAACTGAAACTCATGGTTCCAGTTTCCAGGTGGGGAGACTGACCCAGAGACTCAACCAAGACTTCTCCCGTGGCTGAGCCACTCGCGAGGCTGCATGGTACCTCCTCATCTGTGTTTTTGTTTTTTTAGAATCACATATATTGATTTCTGGGCTTCCCTCATAGCTCAGTTGGTAAAGAATCTGTCTGCAATGCAGGAGTCACAGATTCAATTCCTGGGTCAGGAAGATCTTCTGGAGAGGAAATGGCAACCCACTCCAGTATTCTTGCCTGGAGAATCCCATGGACAGAGGAGCCTGGCAGGCTATACAGTCCATGGGATCACAAGAGTCGGACACAACTTAGCAACTAAACCACCACCGTGTTGATTTCTATGTTTTCAGGGCAGTGCCTGGTGCTAAGAGCCTGCTCTGTGACCTAGAAGTGGACGTCTGGCACTGTGACCTTAGCACTGCCCTCCGTGCCTAGGCCTCCTTGGGGTGTGTGTGCCCGTGGTACCTGGGAGGTGCGTGTATACTCTTCGTAGAGTTGGTCGTACTCGCGGCTCTTGTCCTGGTACTGCTGGTGGTAGACCTTGAGCTGGGCACCCACCGCCTCCACGCTGTCCTCCTTGACGATCTGGTCCTGGGGATACCCGGGGCCATCAGGCAAGCTGCCTGGGAAACTGAGGCCCAGTGCCAGCCGGGCACCACCAACCCCCACCCCCAGCGCCCACCCCAGCCCCCGACCTGTTGGTACTTGGACACTGGGTAGAGAAGCCGTGTGTCCAGCTTGGCGTTGTACTGGGCCAGGGACTCGTGGCGGTAGTGGGTGATGAGGTCCACGACGGAGCAGAAGGTGAGCGGCTCTGAGAAGCCATAGTGCCCGTCTCGGTGGAAGACCTTGATCAGCTTATTGTTTCCGCCTTTCCTAGGGGTGGGTAAGAGGGCGTCAGTGCCCAGCAGCAGATCCAACACGTGTCCCACTGCCTGTGCGACCCCCAGTCCTCTGACCTGAGTGTCCTCCCTCCCACCCCTCAGCCCTGGTCTCCCTGAAGGGACAGGCCCCCACCTGAGGGTCAGCGTGTACTCTCCCTGGATCTTGCTGGAGGCATCTCGAACCAGGAAGGTGCCATCAGGTGTGTCCCGCAGTTTTTCGTTTACCTCCTCCCTGTGGAGACAGCCAGGATGGGGGCGGCCCATTGGGAGACCCTGCCCCTCGGCTTCTGTGGCCCTGCCCAGCAGTCCTACCTGGAGATGTCACCCCAGTACCACTCGGCATCCTGCAGGGAGGGCGGGCTGCCCCCATTGGCCAGGCCTGTGGGGGCTGGCTTTGTCTTGGGGGGTTTTGGTGGCAGTGCTGGGGGACAAGAAAACAAATACGCATTGAGCACCAACTGTATACCAGGGTGAGCTCCCCTGGCAACTGAGCCTGCTGATACTGGCAGGGCCCCGAGTCGGCATTCTCATCCCCAACAATAAGAGCTAATCCAAGGGGGTGGGGGTCACCTGGAGGGGCCACCTCCTGCTCCTCCAGATGTTCCTGAAGCAGCTTCTCCACCAGCAGCGCAGGAAAGTCGGGGGTGGGCTCGGTCCTGGGGGAAGGGGAGTGTGGTGAGTGCTGGTGTGCACAGGGCCTGGTGTGTGCTTGCACACCTGGCAGGGGGTACGTGTGAAAGCACGCGAGTGGGAGAAGAGTAGATGCTGCGGGCAGGCGTGGGAGACCCACCACTGTTTCTGTATATGCAGCAAGCAATGGGCAAGTGCTCATACAACGAACACCAGGAGTCCAGCACGTGGGGTGGGGACGCAGAGAGGAGGTACAGACACAATCCACTTGCCTGCTCTCTGGTCCAAGCCCCTTCGCCTTGTCCCAAGCCCTGATGGAGTCTTCTTGGAGCTCAAGTCTCAGCCCCCGTTATCTTTCCTAGCCCGCCCATCACGACAGCTCTGGCCTCTTCCCCATGGGGCCCTCATCCACATTCCGCTCTCCTTTCTAGACCCCACCCTGGCTACGTCTCCAGCCACACCTTCCTCTAGAGCCCCACCCCTTTCTGCTCCGACTCAGCCCCGCCCCCCAGCAGCGGCCTCTCACCCGTCGGGCGCGCCCCCTGGCGGCGGAGAGGGCGGCGGCGGCGCGCGCAGCAGCAGCGGCCCGAAGGTGGCGCCCAGGGCACGGACCGCAGGGCCCGGGGCTGGGGCGCGCCGGGCCACCCGGACCAGGTGCTGGAGCAGGAAGCGCAGCGTGAGCGCATGGTGCAGTGGCAGCGTCGGGGGCTCCAGCGCCGGCCCCACGGGCCCCGCAGCCTCTGCGGACAGATGGCCAGGGGAATGGTGAGCCAGGGCCTGCGCCCGCCTGCCCCAATGCCTTCCTGGGCTTCCCGCCAGATTTACCCCGCAGGGCTCGGTGTGCCTCGGCCGCGGCCTCAGGTGTCACGAGGGGCGCCGGCAGCGCCAGCAGGAAGCCTTTCACACCATCTGACAGGGCTGCTGCATCCCACTGCTCCACATCACTCAGGGACCAGTCTGCAGGTGCAAGGGGAATACCTCGGTCCAAGGCGGGCGCAGAGAGGGGACACATCAGGCCAGGGCAGGCTCCTTTCCCACTCTCACCCACTGAAGCTTGCCCTCACCTGTGCGCATGGCGGGTGGCTCAGGCCTGTAGCTGTCCAGCCCTGGGGGGAAGGGATGGGGTAGGTCAGGGCCACCCTAGGTGCCAAGGCCAGCTCTTAAATGCTGCCCCCACCCCATGTGGGGTCTGGCGTGGCTACTCAACCTCCCAGAGGTAAGGGAGGGAAATGGTAGCAGGGGCATGGCATATGCTATGAAGGGGTCCACATTCCCTAGGGAGTTACTCCTTCCCCAACTCAACATGGAGACCCAGAGCATCCAGACTCAGCCTCTCCATGCAACCTGAGCCCAGGGAAGAGGAGTTGCCGCCCATCCCCAGAGGTGAGCAAGCAGAATCCAGGGGCTGCAGCCAGGTCAAGGCTCACCTGTCCGTTCAATGGCCTCCACCAGCTTCACCAGGATAGGGGGAGCCACATCAGGGGGGGAGAACTGCTCGGGTAGGTCAGGGAGTGTAAGGCCTGGCAGGAGGGGACACAGTGTTGGCAGGGTCCCTAGAAGGACCCCAGCCCCATCTTTGCCTGCTGCATCTCAGCCCAAGGGCCTGGCATCTGGATCACCACCCTGGGGGAGACAGAAGGCCCAGCTGGTGGAGCTGGGAGGGCTGAGTTGGTGGGAAACAATGTTCTTGGTTAAAATATCAGTTCACACAACTTCAGACATGAGGTGGAGTGGGTTGACCAGTGTCAACCAAATGGGATGTCCATTTCCTAATCTCTCAGGTATAATTAAGATAAGGATTTCACAATGAGACCATCTTGGATTAAGGGTCCTAAACCCAAGGACTGGTGTCTTTATAAGAGAAGGCCATCTGAAGAGAGAGGCAGAGATTGGGGTGATGTAGCAATAAACCAAGGTATGCCTGGAACCCCTAAAAGCTGGAAGAAGCAAGGAAAGCTGCTCCCTTAAGGTCTCTGGAGAGAGCACAGTCCTGCCCACACCTTGGTCTTAGACTTCTGGTCTCTAGAACCATGAGAGAACATGCTCCCGTTGTTTGAACTACCACTGGTGTGTGGTAGTTCATTCTAGCAGCCACAGGAACTCATGCAGCAGGGTTAGGACTCTGCCATTGCCTGCTGGGCAACCTCCGGCACAGGACCTACCCTCTCTGTGCCTCAGATCCTGCAACTGAGCAACTGGTCAATGGCATCATCCCTCCTTTCTTAGCAGGGACAACAAAGCAGTTGAAAAGAATACAAGGAAAATATCTCATGGGGGTCAGGACATCTCATACCAAGAAAATTTCTCCTTTTTCTAAGTCATTTTGTTTTAAAAAAAAAAACAATGTCCCCCCTTTTAAAAATGGTCACCCCTTTCCCTGTCCCAGCCGCCTCCTGGCCCCACGTCTCGCCCCACCCAACCTTTTGTGTTCAGGCGCTCTCTGCCGGCACAGCCACCATTTGATGCAGCTTTGGCCCTTGGCGGGGACGCCCTGGCACACAGCAGGGGCAAGCCAGGGCCTGTGGGGCCTCCCTGAGTGATGGGCCAGGTGGTGCTTGAGCTGCAGAAAGGCCCAGCTGTGTCAAAAATGCAAAAAAAAAAAAGAGCAAACAAGGGGAGGTGGGTGACATCCAGCTGGTAAGGGGGCCACAGTTCTGAAACTCCACTCTGAAATTTGCCTGTCTGCAACGCAGGGAGGGAGGTCCCATTAGAATAGGCGTCACCCCCCATTTTACAGATGAGAAGCCGAGGTTTGGGAAAAGAGCAACCTCCCCTAGATGCACAGGCCGGCGGCAGCCCAGTGACACCAAGGCTCGGCACACGGCTCCCCGTGCGGAGCTGTGTGGAGGGAAGGCAGGCAGCTGCAGCGTGGTGCCTAGTGGTCCTCGGAGGGTCTGGGCTTGAACAAAAGGACCAATACCCCCCATTTCCAGATGAGGAGACTGAGGCCTGGAGAGGGCTGGTCCTAGCCCATGTCACGTGGCCCTGGGAGATTGGGAGGGTGGAGCTGGGTGGCCGCCTGGGAGTGGGGGTGTGCGGTGGCTGGACCCAAGCCAAGCAGAGGAGGGAGGCGGCTGTTACCAGGGGGAGAGGCAGACTCTGGCCGGGAGCCCGGATGGGGCCGCCTCCTGCTCCTCCGGGCTGAGGCGGGACGCAGGCACAGGCCCTGGAGACACCAGATGCTGCAAAGCCCAAGCCTGCAGCATGCCACCTCGGCACCCCGCCATCCCGCTCCACGCTGTGGGGGCTCTGGGCTGACCCTCTTTGGGCATCAGAGTCCCTTGGGCACAGACCCGGCCGGGCCATCGGGTGGGGCCGCGGTGCCTCTCAAGGCTTTGGCCTTCACTGGGCGACTCCCTGAGTGAGTGGTTTGACCGACTCCCTGGCACCTTGTTCTCCCCATGTGTACACGGGGCCACGCTGGGCCACCGAGTGTCAAAGCAGACCATGCTGGGTGCTTAGCATTCATCAGCCTCCTTCCTACAACTTGTGCCTCCGTTTCCCTGCCCAGCATACAGCCCGGCGTGCAGTCACAACGTGTGTTCAGTGCCCTGGTTCTCCACTCCCAGCATGCTCTTTGGAGTGAGGGGTGGCCGGGGGTCTCTGAAAGGGATGGCTCATCCTCACATGCCACTGTGCTACGTGGCCTAGACTGAGTAGCCCACCTTTGGGCTTTTTGGCTCCCATCGTTCTGGAAATCAGAAAACCAGGGTTACGACCAAGGGTGGGGGGCGGGTTTCTCAAGGGATTCCATCTGCAAACCACAAAATGAAGTTACATTGAGCCTCTGAATCTTACTAGACACTCCCTATTGTCTTCAAAATCAACCCCACGAAATCCAACCCGGCCCCTTCCTCACTCTGCTCCACTTGTCAGGGCTGGTTTCCTGAACCTGCTGTGACATTCCCTCAGGGCCTTTGTCTTTGCTATGCCTGCTGCCTTCTCCCCCTACTCTCCGAGAGGCTTCTTTCTCTTCGCATCTGTCATCACTTAATTACCTTCTTCACACCTCTTGAACCAGAAGCCCTGTGAGAGCAGGGCAGGGCCAGTGTGTCCGCCTCTGGGTGCCCAGCCACGAACTGCACCCAGCCCTCCCTCGCAATGTGATTGATACCTGCCAACCAATCAGATAGCCTTATTCCTCCTCTCCGGGGAGATGCACCTCTTGGGAAGGAAGAGGAAACTGAGGGTCTGAGGGCACTCCCGCTTTCCCTCGTCCCTGCCTGGGGCCCAATCTGCTGCTCACCTGGCTCAGGGGGCCCATCTCGGGGCCTGGCGGGCAGTGGGCGGGGGCCTCGTGGGCGAGGACCAGGCCGGGCCAGGGCCACAGGCCCCAGGAACTCCACATAGGTGCCAGGGAAGTCGCCGCGTTGCCGGGTACGCTCGTTGAGGCCAGGCATCCAGCCGACGCTCTGTGGGCAGCGCTCGTTGCCCTCGGCCACGCCCAGCGCCTGCAGGGCGGCCCTGCTCACCACCAGCACATCACCCGGAAGCAGCTCCAGGTCCTCCGGCCGCTCCCGGCGGAATGGGTACAACGCACGGTATTGGAAGCCCTCAGGGCCAGCCATGGCTGGCAGGGTGGGGTCTGGATGGTCAGGTGGCTGCTTGGGGCCCCAGCGGCCCCATCAGCCCGGGGTGGGGGGCTGGGAGGGTCAGCGGGGTGGGCTTGGGGACTCAGGCTTCGATTTCCGCCAAGAAGTTACAGGTGACCACTGGGGATGCTCACGCTTTGCTTCCCACCATTATTTCAAGACCCTAACAAGGGTCCCTCGTTGCTTGTTCCACCATTCGTCAACTGGTGGGAGGGGGTCGGCAGCCTGATCTCAGGTCACTCAGCTGCTGCGTCCCCCCTCAATCCGTAGGGCGGGGCCAGGTTGCTCACTCCCTCACGTGGGGGGCCATCGGCTCCCGAGGCTGGCGGCTCTTCCAGCTGCGCCAGGCGAGGGGGCCGAGGGCACAGGCTGTCACCATGCTCGGCTCGGGACACCAACCTAGGGGGAGAGGGGCGGGGCAGCATGAGTCGGTTTGAACTCCTGCCACCCTCAACTCAAGAGCTGAACCCAAATCCCAGGTTGGAATCCCCTGACTAACTGGGTACCCTTGGGTCAGTCCCTGCACCTCTCTGGGCTTCCGTTTCCCCAGCTGTAAAATGGGTGAATAGCCCTCCCTTGGGGTTGTTGGGGGCAGAGCTCCCAAGAATCTGCCCTGGGCATACTGCAAGCTCAGTAAACAAGCTCTTCTTCGCCCCTGTTAGAGATGGGGAAACTAAGGCTCAGAGTAGGCAGGTCTTTGTTGGACCATTCAATGGGCCAGGAAGGCAGGACTGAAAAGCTCAGAGCTGCCCAGTTTCACAAGGCCCAGGATGCATCCATCCCAAGTGGCCAGTTAAACCCTGAATGCTCAGGGCGTAATGGGTGACGATCTCAGTGTGCTGTGGAGCCCTGAGCAGGGGCTGGGATGGCTGAGCACAGTAAGAGGCAGCAGGGGTCAAAAGGGATAGGGAATGAAGCCCAAGCAGAAGTCATGGTCTGTGAGTCCAAGCAAATGGATCTCTGACCTCTGCGGGGGAGGAGAGAACGAGGCAGGGGCGTCCCTGACAGGCCTCAGCTTCAGGCCCACAGTAGGTACTTAAAACAGAAGAGGGTTGGTGGGAGGCCAAGAGGACCTTAGCCCCAGAACAGACATGGAGCTGGGAAATGGCAGAAGGAAGGAGGGCACTGCACCTGCCAAGGGGGTGGCTGCTCTATGCAGGGGGCAATGATCACCCCCAAGGATCACCAATCTCGCGAGACACAGCCCAGCACAGACACATTCTCACTCATGGCCCTGCAGGTTGGATCTTCCTGAGAGACTGGGGGTGGGGTGGGGTGGGGGGACGGAGCTTTTCCAAAAGGCAGGTCCTCACAGAGGACAGGAGGAGCACTGGTCAGAAGGACTAATACAGGCAAAGGCTTGACAGCAAGAAATGCTTGTCAAGAGTTCAGGGTGGCTTTAAGAAAGCCACAGGCCATGCAGGGCCTTGGGTGCCAGGTAGGGGGTCAGGCCTTATCCGTCGACCACGGGGAACCGCAAGAGGTGTCCAAGTACTGGCACAAGCTCCACATTACAGGACGCCCCAACTTATCTGCTCCCTGGCCCCTGGGCCCCCATTCTACAGGTGGGGAAACTGAGGCCCTGCGACAGGGACGTCCAGAAAACCACCTGAATCCGCTTGCCTGCCCGCCTCCGCGCCCCGCCGTGCACACGTTTGCACACGCCCCGGTGTGCGCGCCTGGGAACCAGCGCTCCCCGAATCCAAGAGGCGGGGTGGAGGGGCCAGGCCTGGCTGGGGGCTTGGCGGGGGACGCAGGGCCTGCGCGCTCACGCGTGTGCAGACGCGCACTCGGGCCTGTGTGGACCCCGAAGCCCAGCTCGGGGGCCGGAAGCGCAGTCTACCCTCCACCGTCTTGCACCCCACCACCCCACTATGCCCCACACAATGCCTGGGCGCCCCCTCTTTACTGCTCGACGCCCCACTCCCGGCAGGGCCTCCTCAATTCAGGGCCGCGGCTCCAACCCCTTATTTCTGCCTACAGTTCGCTGTTCCACCCACATCTTCCAGGGCAGGCTGCACCAGAGCCAGGTCGAGCCCGAGGCCTCCCGTTCCCTGCGGCCCCCAGTTCCCGCGGGGCCCGATGCAGCCCTACTCGCGTTCCGGCTTCCACCGCGGCCCCACACTCTGCCTGGGCGCCCCGCATCTGAGCGCACCCCCAACCTGGCCTGCCACGCGGACAGCTCGCACTTACCTGGTCGTGGCCGCCACCGCTGCCGCCGCGACCACCGTCACGCCGAACCGAGCCAGACCCGTGGCTTCACCGCGGCCGCCGTCGCCGCAGCCGCGGGATCCCCGCCTCCGCTGCTGCCGCCGCGGTTCCGAATGGTCGGGCCCGCCCCCCGGCGGAAACGGCCGAGTGCATTCGGGTCGGGCGGGTGAACTGGAGCCGAGGGTTGGCCAGAGGACGCCCGAGTGCTTCCGGGAAGAGCCGAACGTACTCCCGCGGGACTGGAGGTTAACGTTGGGGGAACGTGCCCCGAGACAGCCGATCATTTCCGGAAACAGCCGAGCACATTCGGGTCAGATGAGTCATTCGGAGGCTGGACTCGGCTAAGCTCGGCTGTACTGAGATGCCCGAGATTCCGGAAAAGGCCGAACGCTCTCCAGCCGGACCCGCAAGACAGGCTGGGCCCCGAAACTTCGGAAACTTACTGGAAAGAACCAAGTGTGCTTGGCTCCAAATGAGGCCCTGAGAACTTAGATCCAGAGGCGACTACCCAACTTCCGAAAACTGCCGAGGCAGGGACGGCTCCCGAGGGCAAGTGAGGTGGCCCTGAGCTCAAGGAACTGAAGGTGGCATTTAGCGGGAATGGGCTCGCCACAGAAAGCTGAGCTTTTTAGGAAACAAGCTGAGGGCCGAGAAGGGATCAGGCTTCAAAGCCGGGGTTTCCATGGTAGCCCACAGCGTCTAGAAACCACTGAACTAACTCGCGGGCGGGGAGAACTACCGGAACGCCGGCTCACAGGCGTACGACTGCTTCCGGAAATAGCCGAAAACACTCGGAAACAAGGGGCGTGGCCAAAGCTTTCCGACCCTTCCGAATACTTTAGCAGTAACTTGAACGCGCTCAGGCTGGGTTCCGACGCGATGCAGGAAGTTTTAGGGCACAGCCCAAGCGAAGACCAGTATAAAAAGGTCACAGAGATGGTTTGTTTTATTATCACAGCTTCAAGGCCCAGACGGTGTCATGGGACAGAGCCCATGATAGGTGCTCAATCGGGAGAGGGTAGCAGGGGCTCTGGATCAGAGAAGGCATCAAGAAGGATCTCAATGGTGAACTCCCAGCAGCCTTCAGAACCCACTTCGGCGACTTTGAGTCAAGGGTCTATTTTCATCCCACCCCCACCCCACTCTTCCCTTACCCTTTTCTCGGCCCCTCAGAAACCCAGACATCGGACCTCCTCTTTGTAAATGTGAGCTTTTATTCACTGTCAGCTCCAGGATGGAAGGCGGGAGCAAAAGTCATGCACAGCCTTGATCTAGCTCCACCACCAGGCAGTGCTGTGTGGGTGTCTCCGGAAGGAACGCAGAGTGGGCTGCATAGCCTGTAAAGTGCCCTTATCATGTGGGACACAGCCATCATGTTAGCCATCTCCCAATGAAAACGGAGGCTCTGAGATGCCCGGTGGGTCACACAGCATTTCAGGGGAGAGGGTTGGAGTTGGAGTCTGCTGTATCTGACAACAGATTCTCCACAGCTCCCTTGACAATGCCCAGGACAGGGGCTGGCTGCGTGACTCTTACCAGGAAAGCGTGGGGGCACGTCTCCACCCCTTGCCAGGCCTTAGTTATGGGGAGGACAACACTACCTCCAGCCTTCTCAAGGCTGACTGAGGGAGAAGCCACAAGTAAAAGCGCTTGGCATACAGTAGGTGCTTAATAAATAGTCATTAGTATTAGTTTTGTAAACACAAGGAGACTGAGGCACAGAGTGGGGAAGCCATTTTCCCAGAGCCAGTGAAGCCAAGATTTCAACTGGGGCCTCACTGCCCCCCCAGTTGGATTTTCTTATTCAGATTCCATCCCAGCAAGGCTCTGACATATCAAGGGCACTTCCCAGGGGGTCTTTCAGACACATCATGGTCAAGTTCTCACCCTGGTAGGCATCAAATACAAAAAAACCTTGTGTCCAGGGTGGACATTCTTCCCCTACTGGCAGTGCCCTTTGAGGCCTCTGCCTCCGGGGGCACAGTGTCTGCCTGTGAGGTGGATGACTCCTCTGTCTATGTTTAGTGAACTTCTACTCATACATCGAAGCCCCAGTTCCCACAGCCCCTAAGCCTATAGGACTGGAGGCAGACTCTAGCAAGGCTGGCCGAGAGATGGATGCCATGATGGTGGGAAGTAGCCTGCAGAATCCAGTCCATCACCAGAACTACTTCGTTTTGTGGTGGAAGGGAATTGTTTACAGACTCTCCAAGTAATCCAAACTGGGCCTGGACTGATAAGCTAGGCTGCATCCCTTCAAATGTATGGGTCTTGAGTCAGGGATGGGATCGAGTAACACACACATACAAAACTTTAAAAGAACAGAAAACCATAAAACACGAACACGTGTTGACTTGTCCAAAGTGCTTCCTTCTCAGCCCAGGTGGGCAGGTTTACAAATGGGTCCCAGGTGCCTGGGGCAAGACCCGGGCAGCCGCCTTAAGGGTGGCGACTCAGTCTGACTATCGCTTATAAAAAGTAATAAATTAGTTGCAGGGATTTGCTGCTATTTACAATGCCGCCCTGGTCTCCCATTCCTGCCCCTACGGGCCCCTGATCGACCAGCTCCAAAACACGAAGGAGGCACTGTCTCTGCCTTCCGCCAAGAACTGCGGTGGCTTCTCTTCTTTCAGGTGTCAAAGGCTGGTGGCTCACTCTCCATCCGGGTGTCAGTTTATGGAAAACACATTCCACAGAAAACGCATTGACTGCCAGGCCAGGGGGAGGCCAGGTAGATTAGTCTTTCCCAGAGGGTCCAAAGGCTCCTGACACAGCCTCAGCGCCCTCCACGGCAATCTGCGGCACCAAGGTGGGTGGCCCAGTGGCTTCTTCCAGTGGCTCATCAAAGCTCACCTCCTGCACGGCCTCTTGCTTCTTGAAGGAGTCTCGGCGCTCAGACAGATGCAGCCGTCGCATGATCACCAGCTCAGAGTCCGGCCCGCGGCTGCGGCGCCCCAGATCCCCGTCCAGTCGCTCACCTGTACCCAGCTTGTCAGCTGACTGGCCTCGGCGCAGCCTTGGGGATCGGGCAGGCACGGGTGGGTGCCCTGGCAGGGGTGAGGGTGAGCGGGGTGGGGGCGCGGGCACAGGTGGGCAGGCCAGTGGGGAGGGCGGGATACTGCTGGTGGACTTGCGGCGGCCGGCTTTGGGGCGAGGTGGCCCGAGCTTGGCAGCCAGGCCGTGCAGGGAGCTGGGGCGGGTGTGGCCAGCGGCAGCTGGAGATGCAGGGCTGCTGGAGCTTGGGGATATGCTGGGTGGAGACGCTGTGTCTGTGGGTGACAGGGGAGAGTCAGGCCACCAGTCTCAATGTCCCAGCCTTGAGGTGGGACCCTGGGACTGACTGCAAAGCCCACATCACTTCCAGGCATGTGGTCACCTATCAGGCCTGGTCTTCCCTTTGTTTGCACAGGTTCTGCCTTTGGCTTAGATCTGGTAAACGCCTATTCATTCATCAAAGCCCTAGCACCTTTTCACCCACTTCTTATCTAAATGTTCCACCAAATCATTTGGCCAAAGGTACCTGTCCACTGTCCATCCGTCCATCCCATGAGCCATCCACCCACTGGTTCAGGAAGTTATCCAATAAGGGCCCTGCCTCTGCCTGTACCCACTCTCCACCCCTAGGCCTCAGCCTCAGAGGATGTCTGGTCTAAGGAGGGCAAAGATGGCCCAGATACCCCCAGCCCCTTGAGGTCAGGGTAGACTAGAGGGAGAGATAGCAGTGGGTTCCTCAGAAGGCAGGGCGGGCTTCCTGGGAGAGCAGTTCTGTGGCTCTCCTCTAGGATGCCTTCCTTCTCTGTGGATTGCCCCAGCCTCTCTCCCTCTAGACTGACGTTAACCCAGTGGAAATAGGGGTGTCCATCTCCGGCTGTCTCTCACAGACTGGGGAACCTCAGGGTTGGACGCAGTCACCATCCTTTCCTGCTCTAGAACTATCCTTCCATATCCTCTCTGGCTCACTCTCTGTGGCTCCCTATTGCCCCGCCCCCGCCCCATTTAAGCCCAGCTCTTTGGCTTGATCCATCCCCCAATCCCCTCTCCCTAGCCTCCCTCTAGCTTTCACATCCCTCTTGTCTAGATCTCCTTTGCTTATGATGTTCCCTTCTGCTGGACACACCCTTCCCTGCCCTTACACCTGCCCTGCCCACTCCAGGCTGCCTTTGAGGCTGTCATTCATCATGTCACTCCATCCTTCCAACTCTGTTCGCCCCCCCTCCCTGGGCCAACCACTGCAGCCCTGTGTGGCCCTTCTTCCCAGGGTGGTCCTGGGGTGTGCACCCACCTGCTGGGGCATCGGGAGCCGGGCTGCGGCAGGGTGTGGTGGGGCTGGGGGACAGGCTGTGGGTGGGGGAGCCTGGGAGGCTTTCACTGGACGACAGGGACTGGTGGAGACCGGAGGAGAAGCTGCGGCTGGTGTGCAGCACGGAGGACTGTTTTGAGATCTTCTTGAAGAGCGATTTCCGCCTAGGGGTTAGAAACCAGATTCTTCACAAGTCCCACCCCTGTGCCCAGGACTGCCCAAGCACGTGGTGCATCCCGCATCAGCCCCCGTGGGGGCTGGCCCCCTGCTCACCGGTCCTGAGTCTCTCGCCGGCGACTCCGCTTGCTCCTGCGCGCCATGCGGCCCTTGGTCACGTTCTTCCGGGCGGGGCCCACCTTGATGGACGTGTTCTCCAGCGCTGTGGTCCGAAGGGCGATCTTGTTGCCACTCTGCAGGAACGATGGCGAAGGGTCGCCAGTGTGCCTCCTAGCCAGTGAGCCCTCCACCACCTACTCGTCCATCAAAAGCCCTGGATCCTAACCACCCATTTTTCAACTAATGACCTCCCCACTCACTGGGCCAAAGATGGATGTGTGCCATCTGTCCATCCAGCCAATGAGCCACCGACTCACCCACTGGTCCCAGGAGCTATCCAATCAGCGGCCTGCCTCCTCACCTGTGCCCACCTTCCCTCCTCTGGGCCTCAGCCCTTGAGGAGGCCAGAGGCAAAGATGGCACAGATACCACCCCCCAGGGTCAAGGTGGGCCAGAGGGAAGGTCAGGAGTGGGGCCCCCAGGGGGCTTCCTGGAGGAGTGGCTAAGAGGGGTGATATAAGGGGGCTAAAGAAGGAAGCCGGGACTCTCCTGGCTGTCCAGTGATTAGGACTTGCAATTCCACTGCAAGGGGTGCGGGTGTGATCCCTGTTCAGGGAACTAAGATCCCGCATGCCACTTGGCCAAAAAAAATAAAAAAGAAGAAAGAAAAAGAGAAGGAAGCAGAGGGGAGGAGGAACGCAGGGCCCA